GGGTCTCACCCTGGTAGCTGAGACAAGCCACCCCAACAGTTGGCCACACACCAGTGTCAGCCTTGGCAGGATAAATCTCTCCAGACTTACCCAATGGCTGTGAACATTCTAAACTAACACAAGTCTTATTAAGTGTCCAGTTTAAGGGTATTACACAGAAACACACCATAGGAACATGAATCAAATGTGTACTTTATTCATTTACAATAAATTCATAATGCACATAATTCTGATTAAAGCTAAGGGCATACAACTGTCTAACAGTCTGAAAAATGGTTGGGATGTTGGTATATCATGACGGGCTACTTTGGCTTCATCGTGGAAGGCAATCTCTAGTCTCCTTCCCCAATTCCTACAGTTTTTCAGGTATGATGTTTGCTCTGGGAATCTAGTAATGTTTTGGGAAGATATTTTGGTGGAAAATTCAGCTCCTAAGGATTTATTMCCTTCTCTTTATTCCATCTCTTTGCACAAAAAAGAACCGGTTGCTAGTTGTTTTTCCTCACCTTGAACCCCTTTATCTCCTAATTGGGATCTTGGCTTCCACAGAGGTTTAAGGGATTTTGTATTAGCCAGTGTTGCAGATCTCTCTTCTTGGTAAACGTCTACCTAAACCCTTTGTCACCAGACAGAAGAATATTGGTCTCCATCCCCAAAAGGTTCACTCTATCATCTCCTTTTTCAATTCACTTTGTCTTTCCTCTGCTCATCTGGGTTTCCCAGTTAAGGAAGTCTGGAAGTCTGGACTAGGCTTATTCCCCCTAAGGTCTCAGTGTTTTGTTGGGAAGTTTTTCATGGGAAAGTCAACACTTTGGACTACTTGCAAAAGAAAAGGCCTCACTTGTGCATTTCCCCCTTCTGGTGTTTTCTTTGCAAATCTAATGGCAAGGATTTTTTTTTCTTGATAAATGCTAATGGCGAGGATTGTTCTCACTTATTTTTATCCTGCCCTTCTGTTGCAGCCATTTTGACTTGGATTTTTGCTCTTTTTGAGTGCAGGTGGAATTTGCCAACGTAAGTAGCTCTATTGTTTGAGTCCTCAACTTTTGCTTGGCCTACAAAAAGAGGAAAGTTGGTGTGGAAATGTATCAGACCAGCTTCACTTTGGACTCTTTGGGAGGAAAGGAATAACAGAATCTTTCAAGGGAAGGAAAGAAGCCTCTCGGAAGTTGAGGACTGCATTCTGACAAGGGTGATACATTGGTTGAAAACGACAACTTTGTTTCATTCTTTCTCTTTTGCTGACTTTTGGAGAAATTGGGCTGCAGTGGCTATGAGTTCTTCCTGCAAGGAAGGTTTATTTACAGATTGGGTTTGCCCCTTGAAGGTTTTGTTAAACTGAACTCCGATGGAAGTAGCCAAGGTAACCCTGGCCCTTCAAGTATAGGTGGGGTGCTAAGAGATAAGAACAACAATCTTTTAGCCTTATTCTCAGGCTCAGTGGGTTCAGGAGATTCAACTAGGGCAGAATAATTAGCTGCACTGCAAGGAATTCAGCTTGCAAATCAAATTGGAATAGAGAGACTACAGATTGAAGATGATTCTCAGATAGATGTGGGGTGGTTAAGGGACCCAGTATCAGCAGTTTGGTGTTTCAGGGACATCCTCAAGCGAGTGTTTTGGATAATAAGGAATATGACTGTCAAAATCCAGTGGGTATGAAGGTTGGCAAATTTCTTGGCTGATTCTCTTGCAAAACAATGAATTAATAGAGAACATCTGTTTTGGGCTGCTTTGCAATATACTGTCTTGCCTTCTCCTTGATAATGATAGGCTGTATTTTGGGTTACTTGTACAGCTATATCTTTTGATTATTGTTTGTTGAGGTTGTAATTTTTGTTTTTTGAGGCTGCACCTCGTGCCTCTCTATGTTGGGTTATTTGTACTGCTATATCCTTTGATTAATGAATTAATTTTTCATCTGTCAAAAAAAAAAAGTCAATTCATCAGACCCTTAGTAATTACTGGCCTCATTAGTTTGTTGGATGGGTTCCAATCCTCCATCAACAACCCTTTCATAAGAGACAAACATATAATCAGTTCTTTCCTTTGTCTGTGATGGAAACAGGATGAATATACCCTGAGTAGAAAAAATGTCACACCAAAGAAAATCTTTTGCATTGAGTTATTGATTGCATTGGAACAATTTTATTTTTTCCATTCAATAATCTCAAGGTAAGAGCTCATAACATTGTAGAAACTTCAAAATATACAAAAGAGGGGTTTTCACAAAACCCAGTTATACATAACCTTCAAGTTTATAATAACTTGGTTAGCAACAACAATATAATCAAATCTTGCATCCAGATTTAAAGAYTATGACTTCAGAGCTAGCCACATGAAAACTTCATATAAGTTAATCATTAGCTTTAGGATCAAAAATATAATCTCTCTAGTGGATTTGGATCAAATAATCTTTACTTCTTCATAATATCTTGTACTATGTAAAGTATGCAGCAAGTGACTGCCAAAGAGGGGGGTGGGTGGGTGGATTGCTATACAGCCATTGAGGAAAGCTATTACTTCAAGAAGTAGATGATTGTATTCACCCAAAGAAAAACAACATGTGATGGAACTCATCATAATTTTATCAAATAAATACCAAAAGTAATGCTGACTTCTAATCATAATTTTGATTTGGAGACATAATAGATGCATACGTATGTTTTGATTAATTTTCTCCTCTCACCTTCCCCATTTCCTCAAAAGTGGATTATTTACTTATTTATACTTCATATTCAACTTCAGATCCTTTGGTTTTAACTACACCTAATTGTCATACAGAGGATTCTAGCTAAATTAACATAAGCAAGATACGAAATATTGATAAAATGTGAAGTGATTTGGGCACATCCATTTTTGATAAAGAGGGCATCCCTCTAATCATTAGTCAGAAAGTGCATGCTTTAAAAGAGAAAAATACCGCCAATGATTTAAAACAGTTATTTTTACTTTTTGAATCTATTCTTGCTAGGGGTATACCCAAATCAATCCCCATAAGAAAGGTAATAAATGCACAGTTTAAGCTAGTCCCGGAATACCTGATGATTGCACTTTGATGCCACTTGGAATATGCTGAATACTAACAGCAGGTTCAGCTTCAGAATTAATCTGCTCTTTTCCTCTAGGTGATAGGGATGATATCACCAAATCTTGATCATCAACTTGTAGATCAGAAGCTGTTGCAAGGAACAGAGGAATAACATCCACAGTAGCCAAGCTAGTCTGCAAGAGAAATGGAGAGAAAATAGAGAGTTGATGATATACATAAAATCTCACAAGACCAGGAAGTTCTCAACTATTTAAGAAAACTTAGGGTCTGCAGCATTTTTCTGTTTGAGACATAATAAAACTTTCAATTAGAATAGTAAGAATGAGTACCTTTTTCTTTCTTTTTGATCAATAATTTTTATTGGGTAAATTTATTAAAAGAAAGAAATAAAAGGAACAGGAAATAAAAAACAACACACAAAAAAAGCATCTAGGAACCAAATAAAAAGAAACAAATAGACATAACCCATTGGAAGGCTAGTTGAATACCCTCCACCAACAGTCTTACCCAACAATTTATTGCATGATTATTGCAATAAATTGCATGATTATTGCAATAAATTGCATGATTATTGCAATAAATTGCATGATTAATAAATTGCTAGTTGAATACCCTCCACCAACAGTCTCTGAAGCCAAGTAACTGAAATGAAACCAACAATTCATTGCATGATTAATAAATCAAATAAACCAAAAATCCCTGTGCAACTCCATGACTATCCAACAAACTTTGTTGAGTGAAAAACCCAATTGCCTAGGTACTTCTCAGAAAAAAAAAAATGAGAAAGTTCTTAGTCTTTTTTTTTTTTTTTGATAACAACGGAAGGGGCTACATAAGACGGGGTAGCACGTCCCCACAAATCTCCAAATACAATAGCATTTAGGTCCCCAGGAAGGGCCCTCGGGTTGAGTGCTGAGAGTCTATTCCCATTTCTTTGAGCTTCGTTTGCTAGCCAATCAGCAGCTTGATTTGCTTCATGATAGGTGCCTGTAGATAACTTCAGTCTCACACAATCTCTTCATATCCAAGCAGTTTCTGATGATGTCTTTCAATCTCCAAGGCGGGTTGAGCATGGCTGGTCAAGCACTTACAGTCATGATCCATCAGAATGACCTCATTTTCATTTCCTASCACTGACTTCTTTTGCTCCTTAAGCCTCTGATTTCAGTTTGTTTCACACTCAAGGTTTACATCCCAGCTCTCAACCTTTACACATTGCAACCAATTGTCTACTGGTTGTGTAATAAGTTGTATTTATATTGAGTTTTATGTGTGTATCTGCATATATGTTTATAACTTCTGATAGGTAATAGTGTATAGTTTCATTAACAATGAAATAAAAGTAAAATGACAGAACTGCAAATGGTGGGATCTGAGATACAAGTACAAGAAATTCACTCACTCCTGGACAAAGAAACACAGACCTAACTCCTAGGATGGTCATACCCCTAGTGCTAATCTCCACATTCCACTCCACAAGATAATGAACCAGCTAGAGATTTAGTGACCTCTGCACCCAATTGAACAAAGTTTCCGTAATTAAGGCTAGAGATCTAACTTCCTTAGTAATACTAAAATTTTCTGATGATACTATCCTTTTCTATGAGGGAGGTGATATCAGGTGGATTAGAAATTTGATGTTAATTGTACAACTCTTTGAGCAAATATCAAATTTAAAAGTTAGTTTTGAGAAAAGTTGCATTGTGGAAATTATAGTGCAGATATTTTGGGTTTTGTGGTTTCTCAATAGCCTATGAATTATCTGGGATTACCTTAGGGAGGTAATCAAAGGAGTAGCAATTTTTGGGACCCTGTTGTTGAGAAATTCACCAAAAGACTAGTCTTATGGAAAAAAGGTTATCTCTCTTTGGGTGGAAGAATAACTTTGATCAGGTATACTATTGCCAAATTGCCTGTTTATTTATTGTCTACTTTAAAATTCCAGAGGTGGTGAGTAGAAAATTGGAAAGATTGATGAAACTTAGGGAGGAGAAAGGGGGTCATAGTGTTAGATTGGAGGTGATTAGCAGAAGTAAGAAATTTGGTGGTCTAAGTATTGGGAATAATGAGAAGAGAAAAGTGGCTCTACTAGGAAAGCGGCTATGGAGAATACCCATAGGTAGGGACAAGCTGTGGGCTAAGCATTCATGGACTTGCAGCTGATGGCTGGGATGCAGCGGCCATGCGGGAGTCTTGGCTAGGGTTACAAGAGCTTCCCCTTGGAAGTCCTTTTCTTTATCAATAACAATAAGCTTTATTAATGAATAAGATTTGTGAAATTTTAATTACAGAAAGGGGGAGGTAAACTATCTTAACTCCCCTACAACAAAAGGACAAAGAAAGAAGCTAAAAAATAGTGCAAAACAGAGATTCCTTAACCACCCCTTAGCTAACCCATCAGCCATTGAGTTAGCACTTCTCTTCACCCAGCTGTAGTTCACCTCAATATCCTTACTCAGCCATTTAAATTTGTTCTTTTCATTGCTGTAGCTCCACAAACCACTGTTGTCTCCTTTCAGCCACCTAATCACCACCTCCGAGTCCCCTTCAATAACTAAGCATCTGATGTTTAATTATCTTGCTCTTTGGAAGTCCATTCACACCATTCTACCATCTTTCTTACCTTTTATCAAGTACAATTTGTGTTCTAGAAATCTTGTTAAATTTTGGGAGCATGTTTGGATGGGTAGCTTGTCACGGTAGGAACAATTTCCCTCTTTATTTGCCCTCTTAAATCATAAAGATGAGCTTGTGTCTAACTTCCTGGTTCCTTCTAACTTGAGAACTAGATTTAATTGGGATTTGGGTTTTAGGAGGGGACTTAGAGACTATGAATTGAATAGTATCCTAGCCTTGCTTCATATTCTAAAAGGGTTTTCTTGGATCCTTCTAAATTGGATAGCCATATCTAGACCCTTTCTTCTTCTGGTTCCTTTACTTGCACATCTTTTTTCAAGACTTTAATTTAACCCGCTAATAGTCTTGGGCAGATTTTTCTTGTTAAGGAGGTATGGAGTAAGCCCATTACTCCTGGGATTGGAGGCTTTTGCTAGGAAGCTCTCCTAGAAAGAATAAACACTTCTGATTTACTCCAGAAAAAAAGACCTAATTGGTGCTTATTCCCTCATTGGTGCATTCTCTATAAGACTAATGGTGGGACTTACTATCAATTATTAATCTCCTTCCCCTTTGTATTTTCTATTTGGGAATGGTTTCTCTTTTTGCATGGGTGTAGGTGGACTCCCCCACCAAATGTACAAAGCTTGTTTGCTTCTACTTCTGTCAATTGGTCAAAGAAAAGGGGAAGAATTTTATGGAGATGCATAAGAGTTGCTATCTGCTAGACAAATTGGGAAGAAAGGAATCAAAGAATCTTTTCAGAAAAGGAGAGAAGAAAAGAAGCAATCATTAAAGCCATTACCATTATAGTGGTCCATTGGGTGAAATCCTTGAACATTTTTTATGATATCCCTATAGATGATTTCTTAAAAAGTGGGAAGGAAGTGACAGGTTTAGCCCCACTTAAAGCTGTCATTAGCCCCCTTTGGTTTCCACCAACTTGTAGTTTCACTAAGCTGAATTTTGATGGAAGCAGTGAAGGAAACCCTGGTTCTTCAGGATTGGAGAAGTTTTCCAAAATGAGGAAGGAAAAGTTATAGCTTTCTTTTAAGGGCTGAGGTCATGGCTGTGATAGAAGGTGTACAAAGGGCAAAGGAATTGAATATAACAAAGCTGATTATTTAAGGAGATTCAAGGCTGGTAGTAGATTGGATGCAAAAGGAGAAAGATGGGTGGTGGAGCTCTGTAAATGAAAGTTGCTTTAAGTGGGTGACAAAAGATATGGAAGTCAAACTACAGTGGGAGAAAAGAAGTGCTAACTCTTTTGCTGATGTACTAGCAAAACAAGGGGTGGGAAGAGATCAATTTGTTTGCGCTTTGTTGTAAACTTGAGTAATATCCTTCCCTTTGTTTGTTCTTTTGTACTCTTTTAATCATTAATAAAATGGTGCAGTTATTGATCAAAAAAAGAAAAAAATGGATCCTAATGCAGGAGCAAGAGAGAGGCAACCAAACCAGCAGATTTAAGAATGAATTCACTACAAATGAGAGTGAAAAGATAGAATTTGATTAAAAGAAAATCAGAAGAATATAGCCCTGAAGCTTCTAAACCAGTTGTGGCACAAACCACCAAGGGAAAGATCCTTTTTTCTCAAGGAAATATTAAAACTGATTACAATGAGGGAAGCATGACCATTGTATATTCAAACCCTACTAAGAATAGATAATAGCCACCATTTTTTTTCATCTGGACCACCAAAACAGAGCAATTTAATTTTTGGACAAAAAGGTCATAGTTCACATTATTACTTGAAAACTCACATGACTAAGAAATACTAACATGACTTTCTTTGAATCTGAAGTTCTGAACTACTAATGACTAAAATACCCTAAAAATACAGCAAACATAAAAATCACTAAAATCAAAGGCTTCTCCAACCAAGTAGATGCTTGTGCATCAATCCCTCTAGATTGGAGAGATTGGAGAGATCTTAGCCCCAACAAGAAAATTTGAATGTGCTAATCATAGGCATCGGGAATCTGGATCAATTCATTGCAACTCCTCTAAAACAATCCAACATTTTTTTTAATCGTTAAGAGATCATAAGGCTTTATTGAATCAACAAAGTAAACTAGTGGAAAAGCACAATCATCTATATCACCCTGAGGTACTAGATAAAAGACCTTGTAAAAAGAGAGGCCACTGGATTTTTACAATTGAAAGCTAAATGTAGCCATGAAGGGAAAAAAGCTCTTGAATACAATATGCCCCTCCCATTCCAAGTCTAGCTAGGCTATCAACTATTGAGTTTGCCAACCTCCAATAGAGGTGAGCATGGGTCGGTTCAGTTCAGTTCTAGGGTCAGTTTTAGCCTTGGTGGTTCAAGGGTCTACCTGTGGAACCTGTTCTTTCTTTGTATGCCCCCCCCTCCCCCCCCAAAAGAAAATGAATCTTGTTCTTTAAAATATTGATTTTCAAATAATAATAATAATAATAACATCAAAACTTATCATCATAATTTAAATTTTGTACATATTACTTTTTATATTACTTATAATACACATTCAAATATTAAATTGAAGAAAAATGATCTAATCACTTAAGTGATTCAATGGTCAAGTGAGGCAATGGTCTTTGTAACCATAAGTGCTAGACTCCAAATCTTCACATCATCAAAATATTTTGGGAGATATTTCAAGGAAAGTTTCGTTCCAAGACCAACCAAGGTCGGTTCTCTGGGTTTGTTAAGGTAGGGCAAACCTGTAGACCTTAGAACTGGCTTGGGTGGGGGTTGATTCCAAGAATTTGGAACCAGACTCTCTGCCTAGTAATAGGTTGGGTAGGGTCAGTTGAAGGCCAGTTCGAGGTCGGTTCGATTCGGTTCTGAGTAGAACCTACCCATTTTCTCACCCCTAACCTCCAGATCCACCTGAATGAGATGTTCATGCAGTTTTAGTGTGAAATTAACCTGCAAGAGAAGAAGAAGAGGAAGAGAGAAAAGAGAGAGACATGAAACAGAAGTTTGGGAGAGAATAGATGCGTGTGGCGGCTGCCAACTCCCATTATTTTATTTAGGGTGACATACTAAAAGAAGAGATGACAAAGCTGCCCTTGTACCTACAAGAGAACATATAACAACACTACAACATTCCCCCTCAAGTTGGGTCACAGATGTCAATCATTCCCAACATGTTACATAACTCATTATGGCACAAGGTATTCACACCCTTAGGTATCTTTGGGTTAACATAGCAAATGATACAAAACTGAAGTTATCAGTTGCAATAACTTTGAATTCTAAGAAATATGGTATTCAAAAAAGGGATACTAACCTCATGAAAAATGGATCCATCTTGAGAACTTCTGACCATACAGTGCACTCCTCTCTCTCCAGAAAGATAGCCATAAACATATTCAGATTCAAACTCAACTATTGCTGATTTTATACCACCACCTTTAGAAGAGCATTTCTCAACTACTCTCCCTTTGTAACCTTGCTTTTCAGCCCATTTCATATACATGCTGAGAAGTTGCTCTGCCCACATCTGGAATTGGTTTTGTGAGACTGCCTTTAGAAAAATAATTCCAAAAGTACAAAATAAATAAATAGATAAATAAATGTAAATAATATTAGCGAAGGCTATGGATGAAATCATCAGCAGATGACAGATAATGGCAGGGTCTTCCTTGCAAAGACAATAAGGGATGTATGTCACTAACTAGATTATTGCAAATTAAATTTTAACTTTGATTGATGCTGCCTAGGAACCGAGGTACATCAGGTATGGGGGGGGTGATTTAGAGATTAGAGSAAAWGCTGCTGTCCTACAGTTCTCAGGTTCAATGTGCTATGGCCTTTGTAATTTCTGGTTAGACACGACAGAGTTTTTGGACCTAACCTGAAGTACTTGTTAAGCTAGATTTCCAGATCATCCAATAGTTTGGCTGACTCCCTTTAAGGACTGGACTTTCTGGGGAAATCGTGTGTTGGAGTGAAAGGGGTTAAGTGATTTATGCCACCCTAGCAAACAAGATATCTCATTGCTTTTAACATACTTCATCAGAAACAATAAAATTATACCATTGACAATCAAAACAAAACATATGTTGGAGTGGGCCAAGACCAGGGAGTCATTTTACAGAATCAGTGCAGAAGGTAGTCACTAGTCTAACAATAATGCTGTTTCCTTTTGACTTTTATATATCTAATTTCTTATCAATAAAAAGTATGAATTGTTTTTTTTTTTTACTTGATGATCAGTAACTGTGAGAATTTTAATTGAATAAAAGAATGAATATGTACAATGAAAATTATGAATTACTGTCACTCATCAAAAAAGAAAAACCAGATAGAAATCATAGGATACAAGAAATTTCTTAGCTTATTACATAGCATTCAGAAGCCAAAAATAGCAGAACTGCTTCAAACAAACTTCAATGAAAATCCCTCAAAAGGAAACAAATGAAATCAAAATACATGACAGAAAAATGACTGCAATGACATCTTTCAAGCCAGTATCAACTTATTCCTAATCAAATCTCAGTACCCTTATCCATGGTTTAAAATGTCTATAAATTTCCTAATATTTCCATGACATTTCCATTTCCATGGGTACCGACATGATAACCACTTTGAGCCAGCTCAATGTTCTTTTACAAACATGAAGTTAAATATTAGTTTTGTTTGTGTAATAAATTATTTGGTTAGTTTATATGAATCATTTGCATTTTCTATGAGTTTAAATTTTGCGTGAACTCATTCTATCATATAGCTTTGACTCTTTTTTTTCGATAAGTAATGAATTTTATTAAAGAAATATAAAGTGTTACAACAAAGTATTACAAATAAAGCAATCCAACAGAGGTGCGAGGTGCAGCACCATTTCCAAAAAGAATTACAGATGAACCATAAAAAGTTCAGACTTATGCACCCCCAGTGTTGAAAAATGATCATGTAGCTTTAACTAAGGTTACAGGAAAACTTCATAACATGTTACTTTGTCTATAACCTTAGTTTCTTAGCCTTATTTTATGATTTGAAACAAGATAATAACTTAAAAATATGTGTCTATGTTTCTTTTATAATTTTATACTATCATTCTATATTTTTGCATGTTTCACAATGTTTTCACCATACCCATAATTTTTACAATATTTCCATATGATATTTTTGACATTTCCGACAAGTTTCCTATACTTGGATGACTGACATTTCCATTGACACCAACATTCTAAACCTTGCATTTATCATGGTGTATGTTCTGGGATGGGAACACTACATCTAAGCAATAAGGAGAAAGGTTTGTAACCAATGCTGATTGACATTTGATTAAAACCAAATTTCCGCTTGTGGAGGATCAATCAAAAACACAAAATGCATTAAAATAGATTTAAGGGTAAGCATAAAGAAAGGATCCCTGGACAGTTCAACAAGCCTTTCATGAATGAGATAATATACTTCTAGAAACTAGTATTATGCACTTAGAGATGAATAAATAGCAAAAATTCTGGAACTATAACAAATGAATAGAACTGGACAAGGACAAACACAAAATAGATTTGTCACATGTCATACATGATTTTAACTTCCAACAGGACCAGATTTCAGAAAACGGATGATTCTGACATCCAACAAGAGTTCAGAAAATGGAATCTCCTTGCCACATATGCACTCCTCCCAATTAATGAAGTCAGATTGAAGAAACTATGGAGTATGGGCAGTATCACACATTTAGAAAGGCAAAGTCCAAGATACTTAAACCTAGTCTGGTGAATAAGTATTCAATAAAGTTTTAAACATTGCTTTGTTCTACTTTGACATGAAAAGGTATATACATGTATATTTTGTATATGGTGTAAAGTTATTCAATCATGCATGATCCTTGTGGCTTCTAATTTATTTGATTAACTATTATTCATAAAACTACTACTAAGTTCAAATTACTTGTTAGTTCCACAGAATTCACAAGATAAAGCAGAAAGTTGAGAAACTCTTATTTAGTTCCACACAGTTTAAGTGGGGAGGTATGGCATGCTAACCTCAGGGTAAACACCTTTAGATGCAGCTTGAATAATTACACAAGCCCCCTCCATGTCATATGGGCCACTAAGAAGTTTGGACATCTCATACTGATCCAAGAACTTGCTCACATCCACAGAGGCATTATAGGCTTGCTTAAAAAGCCTATAATTTATAACATCCATCTCGGCTAGCTGTGTGATAAGTTTTGCTTCTTCAGCCTGCACATGGTTGTGAATACATCTAAAATTCTAAATAAGGGAATAAAGCATGAATTTATTACATTAACTGCAGAAACGAAACAAAAAAAGGGACTTAAATTAACCTCAATATTAAACAAGACTAGACCTGTAGTATGGAAACTCAACAATAGGTCAGGCCAGGCAGGGCCATGTTTGCCCAGATACTAACTAACCTTATGCACCAAATAGGGTCTTCTTATTTGTCCAGGTCCAGTTGTGGCATACATGGTTGGGTGGTTCCAAACCCAACCAACTAAAATAATCAGTAATAAAGGGGGTATATAGAATTTGAGAAATTCTTATAGAAAGTACTAAAATCTAAAGTTACTGCATTCAAACAATTAAAAATAAAAGGAAAAAACCTAAAAAGTGGATTTACTTTGCTTCTCTTCTATGCATATAATTGTATGTTTATTTGGTAACAACCAGCTAGGTTCAGAGTTGGAACTGATTCCTAAGGAGTCTAAGTATATCTCCATTTTTGGAGCCATGCCCCACTATGTGCACTGGCTAAGTAAGTTTCTAGCCTTCTAGGTAATATAGTAACCATTGACTCCCTTGGTTGTACAAAGATTAATTATCTCCAATAAAGAAATGAAAATGGAAAAAGAAAAAGAAAACATTTTTCTAACCCAAATAAACATACTTTATTGGAAATATATGATTGTTGAACTGGTTAAGGGTACCACTTTGTTTACTCATACCAGCATAGAAAAAATAATACAGACTCAATAGTAATATGATTATAGAAAATAGTAAAATTAAAGGCATAATCTTTGCTATAAAATCTTTCTGTTAGGCACAGATAAACCATGAAGTATGATAGACATCATTACATCATGCACAAGGATAATCAAGCAACATAGTCAGACTCAGATCATTTGCAAACCTGGAAAGTGGCTGGTTCATAGGTCAGTCTGACAGCTGGGTCAAACCAGTGACATGTGATGTCAAACTTAAATATAAAATTAATCTATCACAACTATAAATTAATTTTAAGCTCTATTCCATTGGTCAAGGTTCTCACCTCTACATGTGTAGACTATTAGACTGTTAGAGTCATCCCAAGTGTGTTATTACCACACAATATATATATATATATATAAAGATAGGCTTGTAAGTATGTATGTAAGAGTTAAATAAAAAGCTTAATAAACAAATAGGCTTGTAGCCCAGTGATTTATCCCTTAATTTACAAATACAAGACTCAGGTTGAAAACTTTAGGATGCAATTTTATAATAAAACTCTCATATGTTCACCCAGGCAATTTCCTGAAAATTGGATGGTTGAGTAAAAACCATCCAGTTTTCAGAGAACTGCCTGGTCAATAATAGTTTAAACAACATTTTAGAAAATTAAGAACTGGGCATTCTAACCCAGCAATGTTACTAGGTCACCATTAAAACAGTTTGACCATGTGATCCAATCTGAGTCTGACAACATTGCAATCCAGTAAGTGTTGCATCAGAATCTGCAAGTTAATTGGAATTTTGAACATGCCACAACATTGACCTGATAACAGCAAAATTTCTTCCATCCAGAAAAGTCCATCCATCATAATCTAAGTTCCAAGTAGGCAGCTATATGTTGAGATAATACCACCATCTCTGTATTCCTTCATCAATAAGTGTTGTGAATATAAGTTTATTGATTGAATTGCCTATACTTTCAATTAATCTCATATAATGCTAGTCTACATGGCAATAGCACCTTATATCGAAGGTCTTTGAGAGCATCAACTACTCTGGTACTATCAGCCAACTCTATAAGAATTTCATTTGATTTAGCTAGGTCCTCCCAAAGATTTTCCTCACGAATTAGTTCTTCCTGCTTCATTCGTCTTGCTTCTTCTAATTCCAATGCTGTTGGTGCCAACATCTCAGCACGGGAAACTGCATCTTCAATCTTCTTCCGTAATGAAAACAGACCTAACAAAAAAAAGGAACAGCAAAGAGATCAATGCTCATATCCAATTTCAAATAAAGAATAAAGTGATCATGTCTCCCCCGAGTCCAGCCAACTAGACAAATCAGCTGTTTATTTTAGGCCCTAGGCCTTCCCTCTTGAGGCCAATGAGCCTCTTAGCCTAGGCCCTAGGCCTTCTCCCCTTTCTCTAGTTTCTTCCCTTTCTTTCAAAACATCTAGAAGGTGTTGCACAAAACCCCCTTGCATGGGAAGCATGCTAAACCATATAATATCTATATCTAGTTTGTTTATCCATCCTTTTATCCAATTCTATCTTTTTCTTGTTATTACTATCATTTTTATTGGTTTCTATTTATTAATATCATTGATATAGAGTTATAGATTTACATCTAGATGCCTGCTAAGTAGATATTTAAGACATTGCCAATGTGCAAATCACAGTCCTGATTCTACCTTAACTTCTAATCTCGTGTTCATAAATGGTGCCTTAACCTTATTTGAAGGTTGAAACCTTTGTTGGTATATTCTAATCAAATCAGGTTCATCAGATATCTGGATATGTTAAATGAATCAAATTCAGATATATCTTTTACATATCCATCAGATATCAAATCAAACTCGAACCWCTCAAATTCCTATTGGATGGGATTCAGATATCCCCTATCAAAATTCCATCCAATTCATTTGCAGCCCTAGAGTAAATCTAAAATTCTTCAGGCATTGAGACACCCACTCTCCTTCCTTGATCATCAAGCCCTAGACTAAGTTGCTGAACAGGTATAGGAACCTTGTGGTGAAAAGGGATTCACAAGTAGTAATTGGCAAGTTAAGAAATTGGATTGCCAGCCCTTGACATCTTCTGCACCACACCTAATAGTGCAACTTGAATCTCCTTGGAAAATAGTGATCTAAGCCCTTTCTGTTCAGTAAAACCAAGGACAAACAGGAATGTCGTGACTTCTTTGATTAAGTAGGCAATTCCTAACAGATACAAGAAAATCACAATATGTTTCATCAGTTTCCCACCCATGTCAAACTCTGCTTTCCAAGATACCCCTCAAAGTTCAATGTTCAACCACACTTAAAAGCTAAGTTAGTTGCTCACCACTTCTGCCTGCCAAAAAATTATACTTTTCTATTGAAGGTATAACTATTTCTTTCCTTCAACAGCCTCCACATGACAGCTTGGAGAATGAGCTACAAAATGTTACTTTCCTCCACCTCCTTCATTCCATAGCCACAATAGATCAACAAGTTAGCAGGGATAGAACCTGAACGGGTACAAATAATGCACCAAATATCTCTACTACTTAGCAAAAGCATAGTGCAAGAAAATATGATTGGTAGGTTCCAATCAAAAGAAAAAATGATTGGTGGGTTTGGAAGCTCCTAGACAAAGTGGGCAGGTATGGGGTTTTAAGTATTTCTACTTGTCATCTACATTGTAGCATGTTGTAGGCATTTATCTTTGGAGGCCTCCTGATGTAGAAGTGGAATTCTAAGGATCTCAAATTCAAAACTATAATTGAACTAACTGAACTTCAACTAGAAAGACAAAGCATCATCTTTGGAATGTCCAAACTCACTTGTCATGATTTTGGTGTCAATAGAGAGCTATATTCAATTATCCATCCAACAAGCATATCATGTTAGTTGGACATGAATTGTGTAAGTTACTAAGTTATGCCAACTTACAGACAGCCAATAATCTATGATGAGTTTTCTATTTTTGGTTGTTTTAAATTTTTAGTTAGAGTTTTCTTGTTTTTGGTAAGAAGTTAGAATTCAAGTAGTTTTAAGATTTATTATTGTAGGTATTTGTTTTAGAAGTCCTTTTTTCTTTTGTTTTTCAGTTTAGTAACGATTGACTTTTATTAAGATCAAGAAATAAAATGAGTTATAAACAGAATAGCCCTAGCCTCCCTAATATTTAGGCCAGCAAATGCCACCTAACCAACATATTATCCTTCAGCCAACCCATCACCACTTTAGAATCCCCTTCCACTGTAATATTTTTAAGAGGTTGTAGTTTTCCCATCGTGTGAGTAAAATTGATAATCCCTCACCAGACATTCTGTTCAAGCAATTTAACCAAATAAGGCCATCCATGCTATATCTACTAATTCTTATAAAGGACATTGATGTTGAGAAATTGGTTTTGATAAAACGAGAAAATCTGCACAAGATTGTCAGGAAACCACCAACTCACCAAGTATGTAAGAACTGGTAAGGAAACCATCAAAYGACTTTTTTTTTACTTGTTATGACACAAAAGCTTAAATTACAAACTACAATAATAAGCTTGACTCCATAATAAAGTCTATTTAAATAAAAATATCCAGTGAAATATGTATGTCTTCCGGATACTTGAAATTATCGTTATATCTAATGATATTCCAATAAAAAATTGTTATATCTAGTAATCCTGTAGGCATCTTAACTTATAATGAACCAAACTCCTACAAGTTTTTATCTTCCTCTAGAGTTGCCTCTGAACTGACTGTTAAGCTTCCAGATATTAAAGTTGATCCCTTTTCAGGCCCTAGATCACTCGAAACTATACCGAAATGACTCTTAGAAAAACAAGCAAGTATGTAAATTCACAGATAACAAAACAGTTGTTTTGTTTTTCAATACATCATTATATTACAAGTAACAGCTGTGTTTCATCAAACCCGCTTGATCGGTAAGAGTAGGCTCAACCCGTCTCGAATTTTAACACCAAAAGAGGAATCTCGTTGATATTTGTGCAAACCATTTCAAATTAAACAGAGTAAAAAAAAAAAGGATCCTTATGTAGTATGTACCAAATTGGAATATGATAGAGAGGAAAGAGGAGGAGGAGGAGACAAACCCAGTTCTTTGTAGACCTTATTCTTGTCCTCCATGGACTGAGAAGCTCGAATTGTTGAAAAGAAAAGCTGAGACTGTAAATGTGTTCTCTTTAAAGCCCCCCATTTCGAACGAAATGGAGCAACTTCTCTTCCAATAAAGTGAGCAGACACCCCTTCGACCACCATATTTTGCCGCCAAAAAATACTCGACCTTCACTTTGCCATTGCAGGAGGCCAGTCGCAGAAGCTATAAATCTATCATAGACTAATTGCTACTCTTCTCTTTCTTGATAATGTCGTCCGTTCCGACCGGACCGAACCAAAGCCCGACTCAAAGATTCATAATTGTGCAAATCTTTTTTGAATGCATAACCTATGTGGATCTATGTGGTGTATTTTGGACCATAGAAGTATGCAGTGCTACCATGACTCTTGAACCATTCACGTGGCAGATAAGCTAAAACCAAGTGATCATGTGTTGAGATACATTTTAGACAGACTGAATGCTGACCACAGTCCACAATGAATCAGATAAACCATCCATTGACAAACTGTTGACATGGATGATGGACCACCGTACGTATAAATGTGGTGGATGACTAATAAAAGGAAATCAAACTCATAGCCCAGGCCCCAAAGCCTAGAACAGTTTGTTCTTCACTAAATCAAGGGATGCTGTGAGGGCAATTTCTACCCTACCCGAGTACCCGGCCGAGAACCCCTTTACCCGCCTTGACGTATTTGAAAAAGGATTTTGGAATAGGAAACGGTTTTGGGATTTTATAATCGGAACGTGTATGGATTGGATACCATATCGGGCTAAACCGAACCCTCTACAACCCGCCTGATCCGTGATACATATCTTGAATAATGGATATTATGTATTAAATGTTGAATTCAATTTTGTTTTGAATTTATGATTATTAGTTTACGTATTTTCTTTATATTTCAATTAAATAATTGAAATTTTTTATATTTATTAATGTTATTATGTTTATTTATTGCTTATATATAATATAAAATTAAATTCGAGTTCTATATTTTAATGTGCGAAGAGGATTTGGATTTGGAAAATCCAACCCAGGATTCTGAAAATCCAACCCAGTTTTGGAAGAGTATGGTTTAAGAGGACTATAGAATTGAGTAGAATTTAAAATTTATAGAACCCTCCCTTACCCCGCTCCATTGCCTTCCTTACTCATGGAAAGTCCATCTATAAGTGCTTTGTAGTAAAGACTGTGACGATTCGTGGAGATTGGGGGAGAGAGAGAGAGAGAAAAGGAAGAGAGAGGTATGGTTGAGAGGAAAAAGTCACTTTTTGGTTGTCGCCAGTTTTCTATTTATATTAGCTTCATAAAAGAATCAGAAATTATAAGTATGCCCCTAATGGCACATCCTAGAATCAAAATAATAAGAAAAAGAAAAAACAAGTAACTGACCGACAGCCTACTAACAACATCTATAAAGTAATAATTAAGTAAGCCTTACAACACTCCCCCTCAAGTTGGGTTGAATATGTCTATCATGCCCAGTTTGTCACATAACTCATTGTGTCGCGAGCATGGAAGCCCCTTTGTAAGGACATCAGCAAGTTGTTCCTTGGAGTTGACATAAGGAATGCAAATTTTCTTTTTTTCCAATTTTTCCCTTATGAAGTGTTTATCCACCTCAATGTGCTTGGTCCTCTCATGTAGGACTGGGTTGCTGGCGATGTTTATTGCAGCCTTGTTGTCACAGTAAAGGGACATAGGACTATGAACAACAACTCCAAGCTCCCCTAGAAGATTCTTTAGCCAAAGGACTTCAGCCACCCCATGTGCCATAGCTCTATATTTAGCTTCAGCACTTGACCTTGCTACCACACTTTGCTTCTTGCTTTTTCAGGTCACCAGATTTCCTCCCACAAATGTGCAATACCCACTAGTGGACTTTCTATCATCTACAGCTCCTACCCAATCAATATCTGTAAAGACTTCCACTTTTAGGTGATTGTGTTTACTGAATAGTAAGCATGTTCCTGGATATTTCTTCAAGTATCTAAGGACTCTCTCTGCTGCCTCCATGTGTGGTTTCTTAGGAGATTGCATAAACTGGTTCAGGACCCCAACGAAATAGGCAATGTCTGGACGGGTCATGGACAGATAAATCAGCTTTCCCACTAACCTTTGGAACCGTTTCACATCTTTCAGGGGTTCACCAACACAGTCACTTATCTTGTGGTCCGCATCCATAGGAGTATCTGTCGGCCTTGCACCTAATTTACTTGTATCCCGTAATAGATCAAGGATGTATTT